TTTATAAACTTTATTAATAAAAGTTAAAAAAAAAAAATGGCCGAATGTTTTCTTTTTTTTTTCTTACTATTTTAATATTCTAATGCATAAGAATATTTTCATTAATTTTTTTTTTTTTTTTTTGCATCAGAAAGTTTTTTTTTTTTTTTTAATTATTAAAAAGTATTTAATAAAAATTTTTTTTCTTTTACTGCAAGTTAAAGTTTCTTTTTAACTCATTCAATTTTAAAACCGTAATTTAGGTTACCGTTAAAAAAAAAGAAAAAAAAATAATGGAAAACTCACTTGGTTCGGTTTCGTCATCCATTACAGCTTTGGGTTTGAATAATTCTTTAAAATGAGGTTTACAATATAAAACACCTTCGTTGCTACTATAAGTGTCAACTCTAAAGTAACAAAAAAAACGATAAAAAATAAGAAAAAAGGTAATCGAAAACTTAAATTATTTAAATGTAAAAAAAAAAAAAACTCACGATAATTGTTTGTTACATTCTTTGCATCGAAAACAATTTTTGTGCCAGACGGATTTCTCAGCTTTGATTTGTTCCATTTGAAATACCTGTTTTCCCCAACTTTTACAACTGCATGTCACTTCTGAAACTCCCATTGTGGCCTAAACGAAAAAAAAAAAAAAAAAAAAAAAAAAACTTTCATCGTTTGCATTAAGGTACGGCACACACGCAAAAAAAAAAAAAAAAAAAAAATTGTCCTCACCTCGTTAAACTGTTTCTGAACTTTGCTAGCGTCTACTGATCTCACATGAAGAATTGTTTTTTTCGATAATTGATCAAATTTACTGAAACTCGATTTCTGTAAATGAAAAAAAAAAAAAAAAAAAAAACTATTTTTTATTTGGCAAATACGTTACGCACACCCCCAAAAATAAATAAATAAAGTGTAAAAATTTTGTTTAAAAAAAAAAAAGTCGTGTGTTGTGTGTGCTTTTAATTATTAAAAAAAAAAAAAAAATTTTTTTTTATAAGTGAAAAGATACATAAATTTGAAAAAAAAAGTGAATTGTAGCCATTTGTTTATATTTTACATATATTTAAACGGATTATTAATAAAATATTAATTAATGTAAGTGAAATTAATTAAATAATAAAAATTTATTGTTTACTTAAAATTTCATTCTAGCCTATACTACTCTAAATTTTTAAACAAATTAATAAAATAATTATTAAAATTAAATTAAAATAATAAAATCAAAATTACAATTAGGCCCCTTTTTTTTAGAAAAAAAATTATTTTGGTAATATAAAAATAATTTTTACACTTTTTTTTTTTTAAAAATAAATAAATAATAATATTATTAATGTAAATGATGCGTGACTTATATACAGGCATGCCCTTAATCACAACAACAACAACAACAACAAAACTGATAATAAATAACTGAAACTAAAAAAAAAATTACTTTTTAAAAACAATACTCGTTTTTTTTTAACAATGGAAAATAAAAAAAAAAAAAATTACCATTTTTTTTTTTTTTTATTACCGCTGAAAACAAGCAAAAAGATTATTTACCCGTGAAAATCCCTGCATTCATTACAACTTTTCCAACATCCATAGAATGGAAAAAAAAAAAAAAAGGAAAGAAAATAAAGAAAGAAAGAAAGACAAAGAGAAAGAGAGAGAGAGAGAAAGAAAAAAAAAAAGAAAATTTTTTAAATCCTAGTTTTAATATACTAACCAAAGCTTCGCTCCAAGGCACGCAAATCTTCTTCCGTTGTTTAGGCGGCTTTAAATCGCCAACAAAAGTCTTCATATTTAAATTAATCATGCTACAATATCTTTCTTTCTGTTAGTTCATATTTCAACAATTTTATTATTATTATTATTATTATTTTTGTTTCGAATTCAAATTTTTTTTTTTTTTTTTAAATTTTTTTTTTAATGATACCAAACAATGAATGATGTATGATGAAACAATAACATGCAAATAAAAATTACAATTAAAAAATAAATAAATAAATAAGAAAATAATAACGAAAATAAAATTAATATTATTATTATTATTTTTCACGTGACGTACTTACCGCGTAAATAAAAAACAATAATTAAAACAACCCTTTGAACGGGAGCAAAAAAAAAAAAAAAAAAAATTCGCCCTTTCAATAATAATAATAATTAAAATAACTGCGATTAACCCCTTTTTTCCACCCTTTTTATATTATACACACCTAAATTCGATTTAACGATAGCAAATTTCACCCGAGAAGATACCTTAAATTTTTATCCTTAAAAAATGGCAAACGCGTGGTGTGACGCGTATAGAAATAATGATGATTAAAGTATATACGAACGGGGGGGGGGGTTGAATTATCATTATCATTATCATTATTATTTAAAATTTGAACGTTTCGGTGGAGGACTTACCAGTTCTTGTACGGAAACCCCCGTAACAACAGGATACTGTTGTCCTTCGGAGTATAAATTTGTTGAGCTTCGACTAGTTTCAAAATTGTTTGAGGTTTCAAATAAATTAGATCGAAGGACGGCGGCCACTTTTTTTTTAGAATTTGTCGTTAGATCCACCATCGATTTCGCTTTCTACAAACGTGGTTTTTTTTATCGAAATAAAAAAAAAAAAAAAAAAAAAAACGGAATCGGTTAGTTTATCCCTCAAGCGAAAAAACTACATTCCCCCTTAAGTCGGGGTAAATTTTCTTTTGCCTTTTTTTGCCTTCTTTGTAATTAAAACTCTTTTTATTTTTTTATTATTATTATTTTTATTATCACATGCATTTAATTTACATAGATTTTAACAAGAAACACACCAAGTTAAATAATCAATCAATCAATCACTAAAAATCGATTTAAAAAATAGAAAAAAAATTATACATTTTCATAACGCGTTTTTTCCCCATATTACTGATGACATAAAAAAAAAAAAAAAATAAAGTAAATGACTAAAAGTCGATAAATAACGGTTTTTTTTTTAAACAGCATTTTTAGTGTGAAGTAATAAAAAAAAAATAATAATAATAATAAACATTTGAAAATTTATTAAACTTTTTTTTTTTTTTTTTTTAAACAAATAAATAATAATAAATTGCAAAAAAAAAAAAAAAGAAAATGGAAAATTATATATATAAACGACTAATTTTGAAACCTTACCCCGGTTATTAATATTTAATAATCACAAGTTAAGCAAACGACGACAACAAACAACAAACAACAACAAACACTTAATCACATTTTTTTTAAAATGAAATTGTCAAATTTTTACCTTAAATATTTCATCATCATCGTTTTAAAATCCTTTTTTCAAAATTTTCAAATTCAAAATTGGGGGGAAAAACAGAAAAAAAAATTTAAATACCGATTTAAGTTCCGTGCCGTACGGTAACGAAAGCATAACTAAAATGCGTTTTTTTTTTTTTTGGGGGGGGGTCTTTATTATTAATTTTTCTTTTTTTTGTTCCTTTTTCCCTAATATAAAATTTTAATGAACGAAAAGGTTAAGGCTCTTTTGACCTTTTCCGGTAGTAGTATTATTATTATTATTATTATTCGAAGGCATCGATATCGCGTGCGTGTTATTTTCTCTTTGCTGCATATATTTAAAATTATCCTCCCCCACCCCATCCCACCCAACCTTATTTATAAAAATCCTAAATAAAATATACAATGACCCAAATTTCCCCCCCCCCTCTGCTGTCGCAACAGGAATAAAAAACGAAATTAAGCCTTTTGTTTTCGTAAGGCTTTTGCTAACCATAATTACTTCCTCATTCGTTTTCTTTTTTCTTTTTCTTTTCTTTGTTCGTACTGACCGAACAAACATAAAATTTTTCAAGTTTAAATTAATAAATCGCGAGAACGATTTCGAATCGAATTTATCAATAAATATCAAAAAAAAAAATATGGATGACTAATCGGTTTGTCATTAAAAAAAAAAAAATTCAATTAAACGCTAAATAATAATTTTTGTTGTTGTTGTTGTTGTTGTTGCCTACCACCAAAACTACATAAAAACAAAAAACAAATTTATTTTTTTATGGTTTTTTCTTCTTCTTCTTCTGCATTAAATGCAAAAGCTAATACGAAAATAAAAATTTTTTATGTTGTTTTTCCCTCCCCCATCTCCCTTTCCTCCCCCTCTTTTTTTTTTTTTAATCAGGATTCGAACGTTTTTAAAAACCGTGTTTAATTTTGAATTTAATTTTGTAAAGAAGAAAAAAAAAAAAAAAATTACGTTACTCATATTGATCACGAAATGATTGATTGATTGATTAATTATTTATCTTGAGCATATTCAATTTCCCTTCCAACAATAAAATAAAAAAAATAAAAAAAAAACCTCAGAGCCGGAAATGAATAAATAAATAAATAATAATACTAAAAGTTTTACTAAAAAAAAAAAAAAACTTACCAAATTTTGCAAAGGC